AGAAAGTAAACGGGTTTGCATAATTTGAATACTATGAAGCTGCTAACGTTTAAATTTCATTACATACGAGACCTATTGATAATTCCTGTAAGATTCTATGAAAATTTGATGTTACCTGCAAAAGGGTTTCGATATCTTTAACATATAATGTAATTCAGGCGCGTACGCAGGATTTTATGAAGGGGGGGGGGGGGGGGTTAACATTTTTAAACCGGGCCGAAGATTTCGCAACGACTCAGCCAGCCGCTGAATAAGCGGGGGGGGGGGGGGGGGTAAGGTCACCTTTTTTAGGTCAGCCATGGGGATATTTTTGTTGTTGTTGAATAATTAAATAAATTAAGAAACCAAGAGGGGAGGGGGGTTTAGGCCCGCCCCCCCCCCCACTCAGTGTTATTTAGGGTACGCATATGCGTGTTCCAACCGATCCCCCCCCCCCCTTTTCAGCAAAAATCCGGTGTGTAAAGTCAATACGGCTCGATCTTTTTCTTTTGTATACGTGCCTTTTTCAGCACCCCCCCCCCCCTTTCAGCGAAAGTCCGGTGTGTAAAGTCAATACGGGTCGACCTTTTTCTTTTTTTACGAAAAGGACATTTTGGCAACACGCATGGGGTCCGTCCGTTCTCGGAGTGGGGGGGGGGGGGGGGGGGGGCGGGGGTTTAGGGTTTTTTTAGGGGGGTTTACACACATAAAAAACTAAAGGGGGGGTTCAACCCCCCCCCCCCCCCCCCCCCCCCCCCCCCCCCCCCCCTGCGTACGCGCCTGTGTATACTGAAAATAATGAAGCTTGTTTATGGTCTATGTCTGATCCAATGAGAATTGTTACAGTTTTAAAAAAACATAGCCGCCAGTGCTTCCACTCGTTTAAATAGAGTTTCCTGAAAAAGAATACCCAATTTCCTGGAATTTGAAGGAATTTTCTTAAAACTTTCAAAATGCCTCTTACGTGGATTTTTTATTTGGATGAATCGCTATGACGTTTGAATATATATTAATTATTGAGTGGGCTTATTTTTCTTTCTAATGGAGCCGTACAACGTGGCAGAGCTTGAGGGGCCTGGCAGAGCCTTTTCAAGAGAGTAATTGTCTTTAGGAGAGGAAAAGAGGTTATTTCTAAAAATGAAATGAAAGGGCTCTCGTCAAATAGCCCTTTCGTTCCATTTTAGAAATACCTCTCTTTCTCTCTTAGAGACAATTTTATGAGATGGAATGTACAATCTTAGGGCTTTTTGTGCTCTTTGAAAAGAGCACACTGAATTTAAATTTCATGGGATGGATTAGAGTTTTTAATAGAAAAAAAAAAGGAAATTCAAAATAGTCGTCATGAGCGATAAAAATTGTAATTTCCTCCTTGAAAGTCACATAGCCCCTTTCATTTCATTTTATAAATAACCTATCTTTCTCTCTTAAAGGTATTACAAAGTTTTGGGAAATTTTGAAAATTGGGAAGATAGTGGTTATTTACCATTTTGGTATATTTGGATGCCCCATGGGATGTATTATAAGCACTATAAATGTTAGCCCCTAAAACACTTCTGCTTTCGAGAAAAATTGATTATAACAATTTACCGGTGCTCTTGGTAAATTTTGATAAATTTTAAATAGCGCCTACGGCCGTACAATGGTAGCTGCGACCATGAAAATCTCAGAATATGTAGTTGTGATATGGAATTTCCGAACGGAAATAGCTAATTGGTATGAAACATTGTTTTATAGCTTAATAAATATTTTGACCTTGAGAGGGAGCTATACAACATAAAGAGTTTATTATTTACAATTTCATAACTTTAGACTCCATCTGAACCGCGACAATGATCACTGAATATTGTAGTATCACATATGCTTCATATATATTCATTTGAACCAAATTTATGACCCCATACCAAGATAATTATATATCACTTCTGTTTTCGTATTGTTGTGCTTTAGGCACATGTCGAGCCAACTCAGCCTAAGTGTAAATTTAAGTTTCATGTTCTTCCTTTTTTTTTCTTTTCTTTCTCTCTATTTCTCCCTCTCTCTCTCTCTCTGTCTCTCTCCTTTTCCTCTATCCCCTATCTTCTTCTCTTTAACATTATTCTCTCTCTTCTTCTCATATTTCTGTGTGTGACATGCGTTACCCCCACGTGTGACATCGCACATAAATGCCAGTTGGAGATTCCCCGTCGAATTATATGTATTGATCTCGATTAAAAAAAGCTTTCTCGATATTTCTAATACTCACACTAATCTCCAACTAAACTGACAAAAATCGTCTACTTTCTCTGAAGACAACATTATATAAAGGATTTATTAAGGCAAGCCTATTTGGCGAGTCATCTCTCAATGTCAATAACTTCTTGCTTTCCTCATCTCCCAGTCTCCCTTGCTTTTATATTCCTTGTTACTTTCTTCCAATTGATCTCCAACTTAATTGATTTCTCCACATCTCCATATATTCCAGCTTATGCACTGTATCTATTCTTCAATTTCGGGTATATCAATGCAAATATTACTAAAAATCCATTATATAAATCACACTCAGGATACAGCCAATTGACGAAAATCGCTTCAATCTATATTTTACATTTTGTACTCGCCATGATGCTTTGTATTTTGTTCATATATAATTATATGTATATATATATATATATATATATTTTTTTTTTTTTTTTCTTCCCCTCACTATATTTGTAATTGTTTGTTGACACTTCCGCAATATTTTTTAATGATGGAATTTTTTTGTAATTATGTGACCACTATACAAACTCGAAAGACTTGGTAGAAACCAAAAATGTTGCACTGTGGTACATTTACTTGTTTTATTTAATGGATGTGTACTAGCCATGATGTTATGCATGTATTTTCCTCATGTTATCGACATTGATATGAATTTTGCCAGTTGTAATATTTTTTTTTTTTTTTTTTTCTTTTTTTTTTTTTGTAATAAATATTTTGCTATGCTAATTAACGACATTCTTTACTTGCCTGCGGCTTGGTATGCATGGCTGGAGCTTGTGCTCTATACGATTTGTAAAGCGCATCGGTTCCTTTTGTCGTGCTTCCCGGGTCGTGTGTGCGTTTTCGGGGTGAGTGCCCTTTACCCACAACAGAAAACATGCTTTCTTAATGTTAACACTTTAGAATTTCCGTTTTTTATTCTATTCCCTACTTCTGTTAGGTTATGTAATCATAAACACATTTATATTGGAAGGATTGATCTTAAACAATTTTATCTTGATTGTTAACAATTCCCTTTTTACAGATTAAGACTCTAGATTGCGATCTGTTCCTATATTGTTGAGGGTAGAATGAGGAACTGTATATGTTGTCCTCTTTCCTTGTCCGTTCGTTCGTTCGTTCGTTCGTGTCTCCTTAGATCAAGATTAATGTAATCTTGATCTTCGGAGTAGTTGCTACAACCGGCCGTGTCAGACACGTTGCCCCGGGGTGCGAGATAGGACTCTTGCAGCGTGCCCCCATTTAAAACAATTATACAATTACAGTTAACATTACATTTAATTAATAGTATGAAACTATTAAAATTACTCTCATGTTACGGGAAAAAATATTGCATATATATATTATGAATCAATTGATTTGGCCGATCCAGTTCGATGGCACAAACACGGCACTACTAATATTAATCGTTATGTTAATCGAGGAATTCAGGTAGACCTATATAGAAATCTTGAATGTTCTTTGGTTTTCTTCATTAATGGTTTCGTGAAATGAGATTATGTAATTATAAACACATTTATATTGGAAGGATTGATCTTAAACAATTTATCTTGATTGTTAACAATTCCCTTTTTACAGATTAAGACTCTAGATTGCGATCTGTTCCTATATTGTTGAGGGTAGAATGAGGAACTGTATATGTTGTCCTCTTTCCTTGTCCGTTCGTTCGTTCGTTCGTTCGTGTCTCCTTAGATCAAGATTAATGTAATCTTGATCTTCGGAGTAGTTGCTACAACCGGCCGTGTCAGACACGTTGCCCCGGGGTGCGAGATAGGACTCTTGCAGCGTGCCCCCATTTAAAACAATTATACAATTACAGTTAACATTACATTTAATTAATAGTATGAAACTATTAAAATTACTCTCATGTTACGGGAAAAAATATTGCATATATATATATGAATCAATTGATTTGGCCGATCCAGTTCGATGGCACAAACACGGCACTACTAATATTAATCGTTATGTTAATCGAGGAATTCAGGTAGACCTATATAGAAATCTTGAATGTTCTTTGGTTTTCTTCATTAATGGTTTCGTGAAATGAGATTATGTAATTATAAACACATTTATATTGGAAGGATTGATCTTAAACAATTTTATCTTGATTGTTAACAATTCCCTTTTTACAGATTAAGACTCTAGATTGCGATCTGTTCCTATATTGTTGAGGGTAGAATGAGGAACTGTATATGTTGTCCTCTTTCCTTGTCCGTTCGTTCGTTCGTTCGTTCGTGTCTCCTTAGATCAAGATTAATGTAATCTTGATCTTCGGAGTAGTTGCTACAACCGGCCGTGTCAGACACGTTGCCCCGGGGTGCGAGATAGGACTCTTGCAGCGTGCCCCCATTTAAAACAATTATACAATTACAGTTAACATTACATTTAATTAATAGTATGAAACTATTAAAATTACTCTCATGTTACGGGAAAAAATATTGCATATATATATTATGAATCAATTGATTTGGCCGATCCAGTTCGATGGCACAAACACGGCACTACTAATATTAATCGTTATGTTAATCGAGGAATTCAGGTAGACCTATATAGAAATCTTGAATGTTCTTTGGTTTTCTTCATTAATGGTTTCGTGAAATGAGATTATTACAATTAAAAAGATCATTCCCCCCCTTGCTCCCCGATACTATTGTTTTACAGAAGTTTAAATAATTGTTTTCTCCAAACTATCGTGTTATTATCAAAATATTACAAAAGGTGCCCTAATAACACGCCCCCCCCCTCCTCCCACGCCCTCACCCTAAACTCTTATTTTTTATTTATTTCATTATTTTCTCAACGGGAAAATCCAAGAGCGACCAGGAGTGCTGCCATTATAGCGATGATGCTCATATGGACGTTGGTGGCGCCGTTGCAATATTCTCCAGTGCAGCAGTTTGTGCAGGTCTTGATACCGAAGAAGGATATACATCCAGCGGTACAGGCACCTGAACAGGAACGGGTAACGGCCGTCACTTCTCCATTGACGGTTACGACGGTTTTCGCGCACGAACCACTGCAAGTGCTTGTTGTGACGTCACTGCTGCTATTCAGGGAGGCAATGTCAAATGTATCTTTACACACTTCTCCGCCGAACCCAGAAACGAAGCCGCATGTGTAACAATCGAGTGCGTAGAGGGGAGCCACGCAAACAGCGAGAACGAACAGTGTGATGAAAGTCTTCATGATTATGCTTTGTTGAGTGGATTTGGTTTCACCTGGTCAGTGTACGCTAACATAGAGCGAGCGAGATATTGGTGTCGTATCCGTTGAAAGCGCGAATTCGAAATATTCATAGTGTTACTTCCTGCATGCATGGATATCATCGAGTGCATTCTAAAAGATTTCTAATTGTAGTCAACATGGGCAGTTGAGTACGTTGACACACATGATCAGTCGGTGTTCGTCGTGTTCTCGTCCACTCAATCTAAAAGTCCCTAATGATAATGTACTGAAACTGTATTGTCGATGGATGTTGTGTGTACATGTGTGTGTATTTTCACGCTCGCTGTGTTGATTTCTGCTCCCATATTCAATAGCAAATTGCGAAATAAATCCCAATATTTGTGTTTAATATCTGTAAGTGCTCGGAATCTTGTGTTGTGTTCTGGCTGACGTAGTATTAATTATAAATAATTTGTTTCAACCCGCCTTTTCCACAGGACTTCCCTCACCCTGCTCTCTCTCTCTCTCTCTCTCTCCCTCTCTCCACCTCTCCCTCTCTCTCTCTCTTTCTCCTCTCTACCTTAATTGCCTTTTTCTTTCCTTCTTTCATTTCGACTCCTCCAATGTCTGATTGAATTTATCTTTCACCTTCTTCAGTAAGATACCATTATTTAAGTTCACACAATACATGTTCAAAGTCTGGTTTTGAAATATAGTATGTTTAAATCTTTAACGTGATATTTTGATAGTTTTACCATTTCCTTAAAAGTATAACTTCATTTAATGTATTTTAACTGTTTTAATATGTATGAATGACATTAAACGTGGCACTATGAACTGTAATTTTCCATACACAGTCATTATACTTCCTCTAATTCTCTCTCTTCCTCTTTCTCCCGCCCCAGCCTTCTCAGTCTCCCACGGTTACCTGTTCTCACACGGTTACCTGTTTCTTACCTTTTGCTTCGTTCTTTCTACTATCCACCTCTCGATTCCCTCTTCTCTAACTCTCCTTTTCTACCACTTTCCCTCTACTCTCTTTTTTGCCATATCTCTCAGTGCAATATGTGAACATAGCTTGATCCTGTCTTAAGAATATTGTCTTAATTATTTTGATTGCCGTATTTTTTTTATGTTTGACCTGATGTTTGATCTTATTTTTATTTTTATGTTTATTTTACTTTTATTTGTATTATTGTTATTTTTTTTATTTGTATTATATATGCATGATTTATTGAATAAAGAACAGATTTATAATTTGTCTGTTTATTATAAGTTTTGGTTGGTAATTTTTAATCAGACTATGGTGCGCTTAGAAACACCAGTATTAGGCGCCTAATAAATGTTGTGTATTATTATTATTATTAACATCGATGTGCAAGTTCAGTTGTTTTATCATGTAAATTGAATGTAATTTAACCAACGGGCTGCCAGGTTCAGTATTTAATAAACCGTCAACCAAATATCGTTAAATATCGTTAAATATAAAGGACCTTTCAGTCTTTTGACTCGACGATAGACGGTCAGGAGTATGAGTTGAACAAACAAAGAAATAGTTTAAGCACAAACAGGCGCGGTGGAGCATTCTCCAAATTGGGGGGGGGGGGGGGGGGGAGGGTCACTATCAAAATGGGACACTTTCTGGAATATAAGGGGCACCTACAAAGGAAACATCAAAATGTAAATCTAAGATTTGTGACGTCGAGGGCGAAAAGTTTTAAAATGAGAAAAACAACAACAAATCCTGATGGGTTTTAAAGATAAAGAGCAATTCTGGTCATGCGATTGCATTGTGAAAGAAACGTTGTGGAATCGATTAGAAAAGGTTAATCGTCTAGCATATAAGTATTGGTGTGTACTGCAAGGTTCTGGAATCATCAAAATGATAAGAAATTTGGCCCAGTCTTGGTACAGTTACAAGCACTGTACACAGAAAGATGTATATGGGACTACGCGACCACGTGCGCGATATCTATTTGGTCCCAATAGATATAATAATTTACCAAATATATTAATTAGTAGGCGGTTTTCCCGGCAAAATTTGTATCATCACGTTTTAGTCAAAACATATTCTTTCACATGATTGTTAATAAGAGCTTCCATTTCATTTTTTGAGAGAGGGGCGTTTCCAAAACAGGTCTTTACCCTTAAGCACAATTTAATCATGAAAGACTGAAAATACATTTCATAAGTAACACGATTATACCAAATATAAATGCGAGCGAGCTTTGGGGGAAATAAATTAAAAAGTAATATACGGACGTTTGTTGTGGAGAAAGGAAAAGGGGTATTTTTCAGAAAGAAAAGGGACACTTATTAGAAAAAAAGGGGGACATGTCATAATAAACCTCGAACCTGAAAAGGGCCACTCACCAGAGATGAAAAAGCCCCTATTCAAATCTGATAAGTGCCCCCTTTACTTCGACAGATGCCCCTTTTCCTTTGCTTGTTTTCCTTTTGATGTCTTTCTTCATTTCCTTCTCTTTGTGTTTGGCAAAATGTTCCCTTTAGTTCACCTTTTCCCATTTTTTCTCTAGTCTCTTTCTTGACCTTATTTTTGTATCTTCTCTATCGTTCTCTCTCTCTCTCTCTCTCTCTCTCTCCGTCTCTCTCCTTTCACGCGTACTTTTTGGCACCCCTTTGTAAAAAAAAAAGTTGGTCTTAGTGGAAACAAACAAATCCAGGGAGGGGAGATTATAGCAATCGAACAAAGAAGAAAGTCATGAAAATTGACACTCAAGATCGATAACTTTCTCCTTGTCAAGTTGGTCCTGATGTGTATAATGTGAAGGCCAGGGGATTCTCAAACTTTTTCTTTGACGGTCCGGAAGTGATTTCTATGAAAGCTGTATGGTCCGAAATGACACTTATATACTAAAGATAATGAGGCTTGTTTTCGGTCAAATATCTGATCCAAGGGGAATTGTTATAGTTTAAAAAACAGAGCCGTCAGTGCTTCCATTCGTTTAAATAGAGTTTCCCGAAAAGAAAACCCAATTTCCTGGAATTTGAAGGAATTTTCTTAAAACTTTCAACGTGCCTCTTACGTAGATTTTTTATTTGGATGAATCGCTATGACGTTTGAATATATATTCATTATTTAGTGGGCTTATTTTTCTTTCTAATGGATCCGTACATGGCAGAGCCCCAGGATGCTCTCGAGTTTATTCGACTTTCAAGAGAGAAATTGTCTTGAAGAGAGAAAGAGAGGTCATAATCGACTTTCAAGAGAGAAAATTTTCTTGAAGGGAGAAAGTGAGGTTAAAATGGTGCAAGTATGCACCTTTAGGGATGCAAACCGATGCAACAATAGCAGCACCTTTAGGGGTTAAATCCTGCACCCTTTTTAAAGGTGCAATCCTGCACCCTTTAAAAGGGTGCCAGATTGAACCTTTTAGGGGAAATAGTACCCTTTATGGTTCATTCCTGCACCTTTAGGGGTGCAAACCGATGCAACACGAGCAGAACATTTATGGGTCAATCCTGCACCCTTTAAGAGGGTGCCAGATTGAACCTTTTAGGAGACATGTTAGTACCCTTAATGGTTCAATGCTGCTCCATTAGGGGTGCAAACCGATGCAATAACAGCACTTTTAGGGGTTCAATCCTGCACCATTTAAAAGGTCCAATCCTGCACCCATCATCGAGGAATACTGGTTAAATGTGCTCGTACACAAGTACATATTAAACATGCATGATGTTTCTTGGTTAGTAATCATATAATCAATATATCTATTGATAAAACGTGAATGCAATTGTAAAATGATCAGACAAAATAATCTATTGGGTTAATGATTGCCAAAGGTAAAATACAAATCACAAAATTGATGTGCATTGTTATAATTTGCTTAACAAATCATGATAAATGTATTTTTATGTGAACACGTGGAAAGTAATCATAGATATGCATGCAATATGCAAACTTTTATTTTGCACCCTTTTTTGGTCGATTGGGTTCATTTTTGTAGGAAGGGTGCAAAATCTTATGTTGAACCCTTTTTTTTAACCCGTTTTCCTTCAATAGGGTTCATTTTTATGTAAAGGGTGCAAACTCTTATTTTGCACCCGTTTTTGCACCCTTTTTTTTCTAAGAGTGTATAGGCAATTTTATGAGATGGAATGTTCAATCTGAAAGCTTTATGTGCACACAATGGGGGCAATGCAATTTAAATTTCAAGGGATGGATTAGAGTTTTTAGGAATAAACTCTAATCCATCCCTTGAAATTGCACTGCCCCTATTGTGTGCTCTTTTTAAGCCCTCAGATTAGGCAGCAAATAGCCCACATCATTGAGTTTAAAACGCACTTCTGGTGAAGAATGGTAGAAGAATGAATCTGCATAAAAAGGATAAATCCTTCACTGATTAGGAATTCTTGCTATACATCGTTACCTTTCTTGGCTCCAGTGATCTCGAGGCAGCAGACAGCAAGACGTATGAATAATAAAAGGTCCACGGGAGTGGTTGTTAGATGCTTAAACTACAAAAAACCCACACTCTCTCCAATTTTATACCACAAAAGGTTGTCTTGGGAACCACTTCTATCTTTGCAGATGGGGTGCAGGGGGAGAGCCTTTACTGGGAGTCTTTAATAACAAAAAAGGATAAATAGACAGCAAGAAATTGTGAAAATAATTTGCCTTGCCGGGAGTCTTGGGGCGTTCTTGGGAAGTTTTGGGGAAGTTCTTGAATTATTCTTGAATTATACAAAAATAGGAAATTCAAAATAGTCGTTACGAGCGATACAAATTGTAATTTCCTCCTTGAAAGTCACATAGTCCCTTTCATTTCATTCTAGAAATAACTTCTCTTTCTCTCTTAAAGACAATTTTATATAACTTCTGTTTTCGTATTGTTGCATTTTCGTCCGCAGACTTCTTAGGCACATAATATGTCAAGCCAACTCAGTCGGAAATGTAATCTGTAGGCCTAAGTGTAAATTGAAGTTTCATGTTCTTCCTTCCTTTCTTGCTTTCTCTCTTTATTTCTCTCTCTCTCTCTCTTTCTGTCTCTCTCTCCTTTTCCTCTATCTTCTTCTCTTTTACATTATTGTCTCTTTTCTTCTCGTTTTTGCGTGTGGGACATGCGTTACGCGTAGGTGTGACATCACACATGAATGCCAGTTGGAGATTCCCATCTA